TACTACGCGAAAAAAGTTTTAAGTGCACTAAGCGGTAATCTAAAAGGATCGAACAAAAAAATAATGGGTGTAAACGGACTCAAGGTACGCGGACGGACGTTGAAGGCACAAGCGAATCAGGAAACATTAAGAGTTAGGGTGGCTCGATGATATTGCCGCCCCTTTCTGTACCCTCCCTACCATGATAACTCGTGTGAAATTGTTTGGGGGTTTCCCTTATTCAATGTTTATTCATTATTCACATTTATACTATATATAGCGGCGGCATAGCAAGATCAATCACGATTCCGCGTCACAAATTTATTCAACCATTGTTGAACTATCAACTTCAATTAACAAAAGAAAATTAGAAACTACAATCATGATTTCAATACAACTTAAATTCTTTCATCTTTAAAAATCAAATTTAACTCAGAATATAACAAGACTCAATCTGACCGAATAACCGTCCGTTTGCTTTGGCACGCATAATCATAATATCATTTATGTATGGGTCAAATGTCAGAAAATCAATATGGTGGTAACAATATTTCACTTACGCAAAACTCCGGCGATGCAGGTTCGGTGGGCCCATAGAAGACGCTGTGCAAGGATGCTTTTAAGACGAGTTAACATATTATTTTCTGACAATATAAATTATGTGGAATGTACGGATGGTCATTGTCAGAACTTAAAGAAAAATTATTACTAAGTCAATACCAAGGTACGCTACATAAGCTAGTACCGAAAAATTACTCTATATAGATCGAAAGTTAAACTACACAAAAGTTAGCGCCTCCGACAGCTCACTACATACGAAGGGATCTGCGTCTTCGCATGCCAGACAGCAGGTCTGATCAATCGATGCTCTCCTCCAGATACATTTGCCTATGGTGAGGCTTCTCCCATCGGCAAGCCGCAAGTGGCGAATACGGGCAAAGTGCCGGGTCTGCGGCGCTCCTACAAATACATTCGCCTATGGCGAGACTTTTCCCATCGGCAAGCCGCACGTGGCGAATACGGGCGAAGGGCCTGGTCTGCTGCGCTTACAAAACGCCTTCCGAGATACTGCTCACTGGTCTAGCCAGAGCTGGGGCGGTGGATGCCGCGCGTGGCGCGTGTGGGTGAGGTTATGCACTAGCCACAGTGGTCACTCAGGTAGACATCCTTCGATTAGGGCGGTTCTTACAAGGCTGCACGTGGCATGCGGTTGGTGGGATGCCGGGCCAGAGATTTACGTCGTTCGCGGCAATCTGTAGCCTCGGTCCCCTTCCAGAATGTTCGCGCCTTTGCTGATCGCAGGGGGCACCTAGCGCGACACGTGTCCGCTGGTGGCAACCCCGCCGTGGCAGGTTGGCTTGAACTGACACCCAGAAAAAAAGTCTCGTCTTGGCCGACCGGTTGCGAAATTAAAAACGGCGCAATCACGCCGCGCTGCCGCTGATGTTGCCGGCCGGCTTCGACAGAACCTCCTTTCTTTTCCTATTACAAAAAAAATACATAGAAATACACGCCACTTAATAGCCTGCCTATGCGGTTAAATTCGTGTGTTCTTATTTACCAGTAGTTGGGTGTAAAAATATATATGATCCTCCTGTTAGCATAGACTTGGCCGGTGCACACACACTTAGACGAAAACCGAACCGCGCGGGTTGTAATTTTCTGTTTGTATCCTATCTCGGCAGCAGCGTTGCGTCCGTTTTCATTCAAAGTTTTAAACGAAGTGAGCGAGAACTCTTGACGCGAGAAGTTGGCTGTACGCTGCACCGTTACTAAGCACACCTAACGGGATCTTTCCAGATTCTGTTCTCCTTTTTGCCTTCACACGTTTTCGGTGCGCGCGAGAAAGAGAGGCTGTTATGCTGACAGACTATTCGTGTAAGCGGGTCAGCTAGACGATACTCGCTGCTCTCTGCTATACTCTGCGTTTAGCTGTTAGACATATGCGAATTTACATGCAAAATGACTTTACTTTAATTTCTCTCAAAAGTTTCTACTTCCATTTATGACTGGCCCCCACAATCGGCAGCACCCACCGCCGGTACAAGCAGTTTCTTGGCAACCGAGTGGCGGAGATTTTGGAGTCGTCGAAGGTTTCCCAGTGGCGATGGGTACCTACAACTGACAACGCAGCGGAATCACGTTGGCTAGGCGAACCCGCATTTTTGAGGCAGCCAGCGAGCGTCTGGCCGGCGCCTGAAGAGGGATCCGAGCGTGTTCCAGATGCGCCTGATGAAGAGATGACCAGTGAGTTTGCATTAGTGGCAAAGATTCTCGAGCTTCAGTCGCCTGGTGAAGACCACAGCCTGGTCCTTGAGGTTTGCGCGTTGGTGTCGCAAGCAGAGAAGCGAGCTCGAGGGGTACGGACTCACTGCAACGGAGTGTGAGGCCGCGGAGAACCTGTTAGTCAGACAGCCGGATTGCGGAAAGGACGTCGCCAGCTCGAGTGAGATTCGAGGTCTGGCGCATTACGTGGATGAACACGGAGTTCTGACCAATTCATACACTGCGGAGTGATAACGGCAAGAACTTCGTGGGAGCGGACAGGGAGGCCAGGCGATTTGGAGACGTGTTCGAGACGGAGAGGATACAGAGTGCGTTGTCCAGCAGAAGCGTTGAATAAGTTTTCAGTTGCCCATCGAACCCGTCTGAGGGCGGAGTATGGGAGCGGATGGTGCAGTGCGTCAAACGAGTCATACGAGCCATACCCTGAAGGAAGTCGCGCCGAAGGATCATGTGTTGGAGAATTTCCTAATCGAGTCGGAGAATGTGGTGAACTCGCGTCCACTCATCCACTTGCCGGTGGATTCGAGGTTTGGCGCATTACGTGGATGAACACGGAGTTCTGACCAATTCATAGACTGCGGAGTGATAACTGCAAGAACTTCGTGGGAGCTGACAGGGAGGCCAGGCGATTTGGAGACGTGTTCAAGACGGAGAGGATACAGAGTGCGTTGTCCAGCAGAAGCGTTGAATAAGTTTTCAGTTACCCATCGAACACGTCTGAGGGCGGAGTATGGGAGCGGATGGTGCAGTGCGTCAAACGAGTCATACGAGCCATACCCTGAAGGAAGTCGCGCCGAGGGATCATGTGTTGGAAAGTTTCCTAATCGAGTCGGAGAATGTGGTGAACTCGCGTCCACTCATCCACTTGCCGGTGGATGCGGACCAAAAGGCGCCGTTGACGCCAAACGATCTGCTCAAGGGAGCAGCTAACCTGCCGAATACGCCTGGATTGGATGCGGAGCTGCCCAAGGAAGGTTCTACGCGTAAGTAGTGGAGGATTGCTCGCATGCTGCGAGACCGTTTCTGGAGGAGGTGGGTCCTGGAGTATTGGAAAATCCGCTAGTTTAGCGGGAAATCAAAAAAAAAAGCCAGATTTAACAACTAATGCTACAAAAACGTGTTATATGTCTCTGAAAAGATAATTTAATGTGCTAAATACTCTTCATACAGTAAAATTGTTTGAATATAATAGATTTAGAGTTATGATGAAAAGTTATTTTTTAAAACCACTTTTTGACTATTTTCTCAAAATCGAGTCGAACGATTTCTCTCATTTTAAAGCATATAGCCCTTGAAATTCCTCAACTTTTGATTTATAACATTTTTTGTTTAAATTTAATATAGTTTATTTATTTTATCGAATGTAATATCATTTTTCGTCACAATTGTTGATATCAGAAAATGTTGTTAAAGGCGCGTTCGCCACTACTTTTTACCTCGTTAAGAGGTGTTTTTGTTTGATATATATCAAAGCATAGAGTAATAATGTATAGAGGCGTCGTTTGCTCTGCCGCTCTCTTTCGAAATTGAGGCTATGATGCCACCTAGGCGAAAAAAGCTTATTTCCCCTCTTTTTCAAAGTTCGATCGAACTTGTAATTCATTCCCACCTCATTCTGCACCGCTCTTGCTCACTGTTTTGTTTTTGTACTTGTTTTTTTGTTTTGTAATTGTTTTTGTATTGCTGTTGCTTCGCACCGAAGTTAGCTTCAAACTTGGCCTTGAATTGGCTCTTAGCAGAGGCATAGAGTAATGAACTATATAGAGGCGCCAATTGCTCTGCCGCTCTCTTTAGATAATGAGGCTATGATGCCACCTAGGCGAAAAATGCTTATTTCCCCTCTTTTTGACAAGTTTGATCGAACTTGTAATTCCTTCCCACCTCATTCTGCACCGCTCTTGCTCACTGTTTTGTTTTTGTTTTTAATCGAAATCCCTATTGCTGTTGCTTCGCACCTAAGTTAGCTTCAAACTTGGCCTTGAATTAGCTCTTAGCAGAGGTTGGGCAGAGGTTCGGGCAGAGCAATTGAAACCTCTATATAGATTCTTACTCTATGGCAGAGGTTCGGGCAGAGCAATTGGCGCCTCTATATAGATTCTTACTCTATGCCACTGCCAATGTTTGCAGGCAGCGCAGCCGCAAATAGCTAGGTGTAAGTCACTCATAATTTGACAATTGAATAATAAAAATCTTCCCGTGGCCGTTGGCCACTGAGACCAAATTTCTGGACTATTTTCTGGGTTCAACATTGATTCTACTAACCACAAGGAAAACCAACAATACACACTACGGCTTTTGGGAAAGTAGATTAATTATTTGGTTGATGTTTATTACAAAAACTTTTCCATATCAAAAAAAAACACCTCTTAACGAGGTAAAAATCTAGTGACGATCGCACCTTCAACAAACAAAAGTTCTGATATCAACTTTGTGACGAAAATGTATTATACAAACTACCAAATACACTTTCTAAATGTTTTACATTCGGCATGCTTCAACTCAATATGCCTGTGTTTGGCCGTACGATTTTGATAAAGCGTGTCGAATAAGAAAAAATTAGGAAGTGTATTTACTTAGTAGATCGTATAATACATTTTCTTCACAAAAGTTTATATCAAAACTTTTGTTTGTTGAAGGTGCGATCGTTACTAGATTTTTACCTCCTTAAAAGGTGTTTTTGATTGACAGACTTCTACTCTAAGAGTAATGGGTATTAATTACGCCCTCAGCGCACCTTTCTAGTAAATATTGTACATTTTATTTTGAAGTAAAAATAAGTGTTTACTTTTATAGGCCGGTTAAAAAACAATCAAATCTATGTGATCGAAAACATTTACATAAATCAAGATGGGTTATTACGCTTATTGGATCGTAATCGCGCCAGTCCAGTGCGTTCTTCCTCCTCGTCGCTTGTATACTGATGCATGCTGGTGCCACTAACACTTCCCACTCGTGCTGAAGACGTCGCCTGCATGAGTTCTTGGTCGGGAGCATTGCGGTTTTCATAAAGTAGGACCTGCAGAGTTTCCTCGTATATACGAGCTTCCGGAAATTCAACTTTGGTGTGCTTTCTATCGGTTGCATAAACTATTGAGGTGCAACAGACTTCCGCTACTTTTTTGCCGTGTCCGTAAAATGACCAGCAGCAGATTTCACTTGGCCCAATTACGTCTTTAATGAACAAAATTCGTTCATTAAAGCGCAACGATAATTTATCGAAAAGTTCAATATTTTTTAGTAAGTTGTCATCTGAAGTACTTGTGTACGAATACTTGTTATTCTGGCGCTGTACCACAAGAATAACAGCAGGTTTTGAAGATACACTAATTAAAAGTTGTTCTTCCTTTTGCGAAGTTATTAAAGGAATGCGACAAATTGGCTTGGGTTCCTGGTGAGCATATAGGGCCCTTTCACAAGACATAGCCAGCTCCGTGATGCAGTAGTATTTGGCCTCAGCAAGCAGTTCCGCAATTTCTTTGTTAGTTTCCGGCAGCGGAACAGCGCCATCTCTTAAAAAATTGAGTATGATACCAAAATGATTTCCACATCGGTCGATTAAAATCCATCCTAGAACACCATCTTTATATTATTTATATTTATATTTATATTTATAACAAACCTTCCGAATCAGTCAGTACCTCCATCCTACCACTAAACATTGCGCTCAACATCGTGTCATTATTTTTAGTTAGTGTTCCAATTGTGGTATAATACAAGCGACCACCAACATTTAATTTCAAGTACTGGGACGAATGCCCTTTTAGCAAGACTTGGTGATCGCCCGACATGGTTTCCGACATTGCAAGAAATAGTTTTCTATTTCCTACCGTCCTTACCTTCGGAACCTAGTGACCAAGTCTTTAACTGATTGTAAAATCTTTTTGGTTCTTTTGCGCCTTTTAGTTTTGAGCTCTGGGAAACGCTTTCATTTGCGTTGCTTTCTCCCCCAACGCTTTTATTAGCGTTGCTTACTTCCGCGACACTTCTAAGCGTTGATGAATCAATTTTGGGAAGGTTTCTAAACAAATTACGGACAAATCTTAAAAATATGTAAATTTTAAATGATATGTCTTTGCAACTCGATATCGAAATTAATTATCAATATCCTAAAATTCTTATAAGCTTTTTCCACAGAGATTCAACCACCGTCCGCTTAATAGCCTCTTCCCACACAGTCTGTCAGTGTGAAGCAGTTGGTTTTTTGGCATAGGTGAAACCCAGACAGAGTTTCAGCTCGGAAAACTGATAGATGAACAGGCAGCAAAGGAAATCATAAAGAAATTTAAAAAATAACAGAAATTTGGTACATTAGGAAATTCCACAAGCACTTTAGGCTCTCTTCATCATCTTAAATTAAGCTGAAAAAAAAAACCAATTTTAGGCAAATTTTTACATAAAACCGATACCGAAATTCCCTCTCTTCGGCCTATCGCAACATTCAAAAGCCTAGCCATTGGAGTGAGCGAGAGGCAAATACGCGGCTAGCGCTTTTCGTCGGGTCTGTTTTCCATCGCGGTACTGAGACGAGCTAAGGAAGTACCAGAATAAATATAAGATTTCGGGAGTGAATTTCGATGATCGCCGTTAGGCGCGGCCCAAAGAATAAGAAACTTAATCTTTGACGGAATTCGTGCATCGGAAAACCCCAAAAACGCATGGAAGATGTCAGTGCTGATGAAAAAAGATACCTAATTTAAGCTGTTGCCCATTATTGTGGGACTTCACCAACAGAAAGCAATACCACAACAGGGCGAATCCGCAGAATAGTCAAAGTGTTGGAGGAGGTCCACTGGAGAATCCCACTGGGAAGGAACATGCCGAGTGGGACTTTGCCCCTTCATGGATATCCTGCCGGACGGGTATACGCATTTGTTGAACATTCCACTTAATTTTATTTTAATTTCTTTGTGCAAATAGCTCCAAACTTATTTGTTTTCCGTTTGGCAACTAACCTAGCTGCTTGACAGTAAGACCATGCTTCATGCATTCCGGGTGAATTTTGAAAACTTCTGTCACACTACAAAGAATAATATTTTTAGGCTAGGTAAACTCTTAGCCGATCTGAGCACTAGGCTATAAGAAATACACGTGTAGGAAAGAGACGGGAAAAAGTCTCTGCAACTCGCTGCACGCGTTAATCGATTAAGTACCCAGTGATTATTTCAGTACTTATTTACGAGTCGAGGCGATTTTTGTCCTTTCTTTTCGGGATTTATTTGAGAAGGAAATGCATTTGAGCTATATCGCCGTTATAAAGACATTTTTGTTGGTGCTGGCCCAAGGAGCCTTTCAATGGCTCGGATCCAGCATTTGATCTTATCTTGAAAATAAATGCTTATATTCTTTTTAGGGAAATGGCCTACCTCCAGCTTATGTGTTTCTTGGCAAGTCCTGGCATCATTGCACCCAAACGTACAAAATTCTTGTGGCGTCACTGTTGTCTCCCAATTGCCCCTATTCATTTCACTAAACTAGCTTCAGTGGATATCTCATCATTGATCAATTTGCTAATATCAATAAAAATAACTTTTTGGCGCTGAAATCATTCCCCATGTTAGCGTTCAAATTGTATTTAGTTTTGCGTTGTTTTGCTTTGTTTTCGTAGCCACTGAATTTGCACGACCTCTCCCTTCTCGTTTATGCCGATCAGCTGTTCGCTTCACCGATTCTCTATGTGAACAGAAGTCCGCTTAAAATAGCAAAAGCAGATGACATATAGGAAGTGCGAGATTGCACACCACACACAAGAGCGCCACCTACCTTTCATTACTATTACTAACAAAGCAAGATTTCCCAGATAAAAAATATCCATCCCTCTCGCAATCTGTTGAATTTGTTATGCTTTTATTATTATTTGGTTATAACTTTTTAATGAATGGTCTGATTTGAATAATTTTTGGCATATAGATGGGTATTGATAATCTATACTAAAGCCTAGTACTCACATCGACGAAAACCGCGAGCTAACCATACGAGTGAGCGAAAGGCAAACAAGCGGCTAAAGCTTTTCGTCGGGTCTGTTTTTCCGCACGGTACTCAGATGAGCTAAGGAAATACCAAGAAAAATAGCAGATTAAGCGAGTGAATTTCGATGAACGCCGTAAGCCGCGGCCCAAAGAATAAGAAATCTTAATTTAATCTTTAACCTTTGGCGGTGTTCGTGCAAAGGCGGCTTGGAAACTATTAATTAAAAAGAAAAGAGCTTTCCGATTTTTCGAAAAATAAGAACTAAATATAAAAATTGTAAGATATTGTTCGATTTAAGTTTACAACCGTCCATGTTTACCGAAAACGAAATATAACGCTCTATGTATTATTTAAGCATCAATTATCTTATCGTTTCTATGGCAGCTATTGTATTTGATAAAGTCGTCCGATCTTATTTAAATTTTATTCGAAATTCTGAAATATTAAAAGAATGATATTTCCAGGAGTAGAAGACAATATGTCAGAAAACACCGAAGCTATAATTTGTTTCAAAATATTTTGGAATATGCCGTCCGATTTTGATAAAAATTCAACTAAAGTTCAGAACAAATTATAATATGTTATTTCCAAGCGTTGAAAAACAACAAAGATATCATTTAAAAAATCTTTTTTTCGATTATTCCTGTGGGAGCTATAAGATATAGTTGTCCGATCCGGCTGGTTCCGACTTATATACTACCTGCAAAAAAATATGACTTTTGGGAAAGTTTCAGCCCTTTAGCTTCAAAGCTTGAGAGACTAGTTTGCGTAGAAACGGACGGACAGACGGACAGTCGGACATGGCTAGATAGACTCGTCTAGTGATGCCGATTGAGAATATATATACTTTATGGGGTCGGAAACGTCTCCTTCACTGCGTTGCAAACTTCTGGCTGAAATCATAAAACCCTCTGCAAGGGTATAAAAATGGAAGGAAAACCCCCAAATCGACTGCAGGAGGTCAGTGCAAATGAAATAGGACGCCTAATCGAAGCTGTTGCCCATTATTGTGGGATTTCACCGACCGGAAGCAATACCACAACAGGGCAAGTCCGCAGAATAGTTGCAGTGCTAAAGGATATCCGCTAGGGAATCCCAGTGGGAAGGAACATGCCGAGTGGGACTTCGCTGCCTACATGGACACCCTGCCGGGCGTCTCCTTGCAAAGAAAGTAAGATCTGGCCAAAATAATTTGGTTGCGTTGTACTAATAAAAGTATATTTTTAGAAGAACCACAAGTAATACGATCTCCGACTACCTCTCCATTAGGACTGCGGATACCACCACCAGGTACTTGGCAGCTTATGCGGAGCTGGAGGACGCGCTGGCTTCTATAGGGAGAAGGAAAATAGGGCGTCAGCTAAGGAACAGTTGGAGAAGCCATAGCCAGCCATTGCCAGGATGCTGGGCGACTTTCTGAAGCATCAGCGGATCAACCCTGTTCCCAATCCAGCTCCCACTTCCTCAAGGTCCAGTATGCCCATTGGGACTCGTAGCTGGGCTGCGGTGGCGCGGGAAAGATGGCGAAGCACACGTGGGACGAGAAGGAAGCTTTAAACTACTAATTTACATAAATAAAAAAACATTTGTTGAACATTCCATTTATTATACCCGCTACTCGTAGAGTAAAAGGGTATACTAGATTCGTCGGAAAGTTTGTAACAGGCAGAAGGAAGCGTTTCCGACCCCATAAAGTACATATATTCTTGATCAGGATCACTAGCCGAGTCGATCTAGCCATGTCCGTCTGTCCGTCTTTCTGTCCGGATGAACGCTGAGATCTCGGAAACTATAAGAGCTAGGCTATGGAGATATGGCGTGCAGATTCCTGAGCTTCTTACGCAGCGCAAGTTTGTTTCAGCAGAGTGCCACGCCCACTCTAACGCCCACAAACCGCCCAAAGCTGTGGCTCCTACAATTTTTATGCTAGAATAAAAATTTTAACTGAAATGTATTGTTTTCATTAATACCTATCGATTGACCTAAAAAAATTTTGCCACGCCCACTTTAACGCCCACAAACCGCCCAAATCTGTGACGCCCACAATTTTCATGCGAGATAAAAATTTTAACTGAAACGTATTGGTATTGTTAATACCTATCGATTGATCTAAAAAAATATTTGCCACGCCCACTCTAAATCTGTCTACCGCCGTTAGGTGGCGCATTTTAATCTCGCTTTGCTGCTTGCATATCTCCATTTAGCTGAGTAACGGGTATCTGATAGTCGAGGTACTTTACTATAGCGTTCTTCCTCGTTTTCAGTTTAGTTTCTTTGTGCACCAGCAGACACTTCTATTTTAAACTGCTCCAATTGATTTGTTTTCCGGTTGGCAAAAACCCGTAAGACCATGCTACATGCATTGCGGGTGAACTTTCAAAACTTCGGTCACACTACAAAGAATAAGATTTTTCGACTAGTGAAACTCTTAGCCGATCTGAGTACTAGGCTAAAATAAAGAAATAATTTGAGGGCGCGTGCTAAGTACAACAAGCGACCCCAAGCTGCCCCAAAATTGCATTTGTTTTGAACAACTTTTTCCTTTGCCATATCTCTGTTATACATTTTGTCAATGTGGTTTTAAATGTGCTGCTCTTATGGCACATCCGCCAATACCTACAAGGAATGCTGTTAAAAATTATGCTTTCTTAACCAAGTCCCCATTTTTTTCCTATCTCGCTTTGTCCATTGGCATATGGAAATAGCCAAGCCATTAAGTGTGACCGTATACTTACAAAATACCATTAACGATCGTTGCGGGCACGGGGACGCTGGTGTATTACAGTCGCGACACGGATGACTATGGGTGGTACGGTGTTGGACCACAGGCTATATAGGACTGTGTGGGGTGAGTTAACGAATGTTCGTGTAACCGGGGATCAACAGTGTGTTGTGGTCGCTGGCACAAGGACACTAGATAGAACAGGACGATCGCGTCGCGTCACAGGTAACTAGAGTAGTATGGTGCCGACCCACAGGCGATCGAAGATCTGTGCTAGGGTGAGTTGAAAAGAGTCACCTGGTGATGGAAGTAATAAGTCTTGTGGTGGCTTAGATTTGTAACTGACTATATTAAGCTGTTGATCAGAGCTTAAATACTATTATGACCCGGAAATTTGGGTG